TTACCTGTTTCCTTGCTTTTTAAATACTCTACAAAACTACAATTATCGAATTCCTATCAGTGACAAGTATAGTTATCAGACAGTGATTAACATCACTCATCATTCATAGAAAAGGTTTGGGTGCGTTTTGATGTTTTTGTGATTATTTGTACCGTTAATAATGTGGTCAGTATTGTTGGTCTTTTCCTTTGATATGTGTATGTATTAATTTAATTACTTAATTTAATAAAAGTTAAGTATTGAAATTTTTACATTTCTCTTAATTGTTTATTATGACTGACGACGCCGCTTTTAGACTCGCTAAAGGTCATGCATTACTTAGATGATCAACCGCAGTGACACATATTAAAGCTATGTACGATTTATCATGTCATGTTATTACTGCACCGGCTCTTAAAAAAAATTTTATCGTGGCAGCTCGCCATATGGACGCGCTTTGGTTTGAATNGCCATATGGACACGCTTTAGTTTGAATCCGTCCCCTAATAGATGCGTTGCTTAACTTAGGCCTCGGGTTAGAGTATATAACAGCACTTCAACTTGAAGTACGCGAGTGCGTAACTTTGATTAAAGCAACGAGGCTTAAGTATCAGTCTGAAGTAGATCGCGTTCCACCGTCGGCAAAGGTGTCGGTGTTCAGCGAAACCAATTCAGGCGCGGGTTTGGTTCAAATTATGGAAAAACGTCCCCTAAAAATGCCAAATATGCTACTACCCCGTTTTAATGGCGATTACACACGTTCCGTGATCGTTTTAATTTACTTATTGATCAGCAGAACTTTCACGATAATGATAAATTTGATTTTCTAATTGCCTGTCTCGAAGGTAGTAGCGCCGAGGACGTAATAAATGGTATTCCAGTATCGGCACATAATTATGCATTAGCTTGGTTGACTCTATCCAACCGTTATGATAAGCCACAGAGAGTGGCATCTGTTATAGTCGACAAAATGCTATCGGTACAAATTTTGCATCAAGAAAGTATTACCGAATTAAATACGTTTTTTGAAACTTTGGACGAGAGTATTTCTTTGTTAAATAATTAAATAAACCGGATATAGGGTCTTTTATTTTGTTTGCACTATGCTCCCGTTGCTTACCGACATCAAGTCGTAAATGTTTCGATGCTGAAACGGTAGCCGAATATCCTTTAGCCGATGATGTAATTAATTGTGTAAAAAGACGAGTAGCTGTTTTAGAAAATGTTCAAGATTGTCGCCATGTTCATGGTAATTTCATGGTAATGAGAAAAATAGTCGGGTTCCGGTAATTTCGCTCGTTACCACAAAACTGGTCAATAACATAAATATATCGAAACAATGCACAGCATGTAAAGGTGAACTTATGATAGTTAACTGTCAAGTTTTTATCAATAGGGACGTTAATGACCGGTTGCAGTATGCTCTTAATAAACACCTATGTTATCGAAGCCTTATCACTACTCACTATTCACTATTCCACGAAATGTTTTGCAGTGACGTGTAATCGGCGTATTCGGAGACATCATGTATTATTACACATTGATTGACCACTCCGCGCACCAGGCCAGCCAAGTAATAGTCCGTCGGCCACAGCTGATGTACCGTCAAATAGTTTTTCGGTCTTACGCCTAATACTACACCAACAGTATTCTTGGGGACAGCGTTGGTTCATGTTCGTGATAGGTCGGGCACTCTTCAAACCGCGCGCATATTGTTAGATTTCGCGTCGTAAATTAGTGCCATGACGACGGCATTCGCGGATCGCCTTGGTCTCCCGCACACCGATGGACTCAGTCCGTTACGGGTCTTTCTGGAATTCAGCTTCCCGACGCCCGAGGTCTTATGACTTGTCAGATGCAGCCACGTTTTCTGC